CTTGCCGGAGAGTCAAGGCAGAACATAAGAGAGCCCACCACAAGATGCAGTCGTTACCCATTACCATATGGAAATAGAAGGAGATCACCATGGTTTATATCACAAAGTTATCAAGGACAGCATGCAGGGTTGATTCTCTTTACCTCCAAGTTTTTGACGATTTTTCATGAGGATTTGGGTACTTAGTTGCATTTCAGTACAACATATCACCCCCAGACTGTTGGACATAGTGAGTGGACAATTTAGATGCTTGAAGTTATGCTTAAGGTGTGTGTGCTAGATTTTAGCGGGAGTTAGGATAATTATATTCCACTAGCTGAATTATCCTACAATAACAACTATCATGCTAGTATTGATCGACCACCTTTCATATGTTGTATGGAAGGAAGTATAGGACCCCAATTTGTTTAGGCAAGGTTGGGCATCATCTCATGGGGGGAGGGGTACTAAGGTAACACTCAAGACCACTGAATTGATAAAAAAAAGTGTGTGATAGGTTGCAGATCATGCAAAGTCGACAAAATTGTTATGTTGATCGGCGACGACCAAACCTTAGGTTCCAAATGGGGGATTTTGTGCTTCTGAAGGTGTCACCTTGGAAAGGTATCATTCGTTTTAGGTGTAATGGCCATTGTATTTAAATGATGAGCTCAGCCATTGTTTTTAAATGATGAGCTCAATTAAATCCAAAACACCTTCCATGTCTATCATTTACGAAAGTGTTTTATTTGATGATTCTGTGGTGATTCCCTTGGATGATATTCAAGTCGATGAGCACCTGAATTATGAAGAGAGACCAATTGCTAATTTCTATAGAAAGACAAAGTCCTTGCACAGCAAGGAGTTGAATCTAGTAAAGGTGAAATGGCAACACCACAAGGGTTCTGAATAGATTTGGGAACCTGAGGTTGAGATAAGGGAGCATTACCTCGATACTTTTGAGGCATAGGCCTTGAGGACGAAGTCTGATTTAAGTGGGGGAGATTTGTCATGTTCATATTTTTTAGGTATATGATTTGAATAATTCTTTTCTAGCCTTGGAAAGAAGTTCCAACATGAGCAATACCCTCTCACATCATATGTAAGGTTGACTCGTAGACCGTATTCCTTGAGTATTACGATGTAAAATTTTTTTGTTCACGATGTTAGAGTGGTCTGATAACCGAAACCCTAATTTTTCAAGTATTTAATGGAATGAGAGAGCAGGGTTGTCCACCCTCTGCCTCCTTCACTCTCTATGTCTCCAGAAACCCTAATCACAACCCTCCTTGAGATCGGTAGCCATTTTTAGTACATTTTCTAGCTTGAAAAATAAGAGAAGTAGATGAAAAGAAGTGTTCTAGTGGTATAGTTTGCAAGGTAGCATCATCATCATCATCTCTTCTTACTGTTGGACCTTTGTAAGCGCCAAAGGTTCAAGCTTTATTGCATATTATGGATAAATTTAGTTTTTTGTCCATTTTCTTCATGTTTAGGCATGCTTGAGTGAAGTAAATCCATAAAGTTTGGAACTTTGTGCATTCCAACGGTTCCTTGAACATCATATTGTCAAGATGTGGAATTAGTGAAGTATTAGACTCATGCAAGAGAGCTTGGTACCATATTTTCCACTTTTTGACCAAGAATGGGTTGGAGATGTACATGGTGCATGAATGTCCATAAACTAAACATTTTTATGTACCTTTAGGGTCCCTTAAGCTTCTGGAGGAGATGTGTTAGATGGCTAAATGGATTAAGGACTTAAAACCATGGTTTTTCGCTTCAAACTAAAGTTAGGACGAGAGACATAAGGTCTCATGAAATGACAACAATCAACCCCGTAGATCGCTCAGGTTTTTGGACTCACAACATGACATAGTGATGCTCACATCGTGAGGTCAATCGAGTAGGAAATCATTGACTATGTTTCCTAAGTTTGGAGCGAGTTGCTGGAATCAGACCTGGTGGACTATCACAACGTGACCAAGGGCTGGTCACGACATGAGGTGAGTCCTAGCCATGAAGGGGTAAAATACTCGTTGACTTGGTTTAACTTTGGGGTGAGTCCTAGCCATGAAGGGGTGAAATACTCGTTTACCCCAAGGAGAGTATGCCAATGTCCCTTAATTATGGAATATCACCCTGATTGCTAATTAGGGTTGTTTAGGTATGTTTAGTGTGACGAGCTTTTGTAGTAGTAGCTTGAGTGTGAGCTTTATTTGGCTATCGATTGAGGTGAATCTTCTCACTATATTTGTTTGTTGAAGGCCCCAATGAAGACCCACTGGATTGTGTATGTAGGATGGTAGTTTTCTTTGTGAATCTTGTATGTTTATATGACCGGGTTGAAATAAACTCTAGGGCTGGGACCATTATTTTATGATCGGGTTGAAATAAACCCTAGGGATAGACCCATGAGTATATAATGAATTGAGTTCGAATTCGGGTAGAATCATAATGATGACTAACAACGAAGTTATCCATGACAATATATACTATGTTGCAATATACGATGAAAGATTTCATAAGTTTTGGAAAATAAATTTATTTAAATGCATATTATTCTAATGTTATGAGAGGCTGGTAATAATTCATAGCTAAAACTAAACATTTATAAATGTGTCGAACATTAACAGTTGGAAAATGTGGAAGAATAAAATATTCATGTTGAACACATGATGAGTTACAAAATAATGTCTTACTCAAAACTAGTTTTAGTAAACTTAATTTTCAGTGTGGATTATGCTTCTTATTTGAATGGTTCTATTAAAATTAGTTTTAGGAGTCATATTGTTTACATTAGTTATTAATGACATTAGAAAGATCGACAAAAAAATGTTTTGAAGGGTGCCCACCGGTTTTGAAGTGCAGTAAGACTAGAAGGAATGGCGCTCACCACCACTCGCTATCGACTCGCCACTATTCCTCTAACCTAAGAAACATATATGCACAATTATCCAAACTTCCCACTTCACCATCCTTAATCATTAAGACTTTGAAACATGAAACCATTACTTTATGCTGAACTCCACAATGAACTTCTTCCATTTCTTATATAAATGAATGGGTTAGGATTGAGAAATATCCAGAAAAGTTACACTTTAGTCGCAAGAATTTTTTTAACGAGAATGTTTTATAAACCGATAGAAATTTGCATTTTGACCATTTTTGACCGGTTGGAATCGGTACCAAATTAATTTTGGATTATTTCGTAAACCAACCCATATATTGAGACTCTTCTATAAACAAAAATATTATGAATTTTCTACAAACAAAACTATTATTATTATTATTATTATTATTATTATTATTATTATTATTATTATTATTATTATTAAAAATATAAATAAGAATACCATTTTTTGAACTTGTATTATCAATATCGTTAATAATACATATACATGCTTTTAACAGAAAAAAATAATATTAATGACATTGTTTAAGGGTGGAGGTGGAGGTGGAGGTGGAGGGGGAGGAGGAGTTGGTGATACTTTTAACATTGAAATCATGAATGTCTACGTGTATATTTTTACTTTGTATATGGTCATTTTATATTTATCATTATTGTTTTCAATTCAAAATAGTAATACATAAAATTGTAAAAGAAGTTGCATATTTGTAAAATTGTTTATAAATAGTTTAAGGTAGAAGAATTTTTCATTTTGCATATAAATTTGTTTAAGATAGAAGGATTACTTTCTCAATCCAACATATCCACTATAAACATTTACATAGGTAGCCCATATCAAAATTTAAAAGTATTAATTAGAATATCTTGTTTAATAAATACTAATTGGACATGTTTTTTGGATTAATACTTTTGAATTTTGATTAATACTGTTGAATGATTCATATTACTTTTTATTAAACAAGATATTGTAATTCATACTTTTGAATTTTGATATACGCTATCTATGTAGATGTTTGTAGTAGATTTGTTGGATTTGAAAAGTAATCCTTCTACCTTAAACAATTTTATATACAAAGTTAGAAATCTTTATACCTTAAACTATTTTAAAACAATTTTACGAATATGCCACTTCTTTTAAATTGTTAAGTATTAATATTTTGAAATGAAAACAATAATAACGAATGTGAAATGACCATATACAAAGTAAAAATATACAAGCTGGCATTCATGATTTCAATGCTAAAAACATCACCATCTCCTCCAGCTTAAACAATGTCATTAATATTATTTTTTCATTTAAATGTATTTATATGTATTATTAACAATATTAATAATAACAAGTTTAAAAAATAGTATTCTTATTTATTTTTTATAACAACAACAACAACAACAACAACAACAATAATAATAATAATAATAATAATGATAATAATAATAATAATAATAATAATAATAATAATAATAATAATAATAATAATAATAAGGGTTTTGTTTGCAAAAAAGTTCCAATATTTTTGTTTACAGAAAAGTCTGAATATTTTGGGTTAGCTTACGAAATAATCCCAAATTAATTTGGCACCGGTTCAACCGGTCAAAAGTGGTCAAAATGTAAATTTTTGCCGGTTTTTAGGACTTTTTCATTCAAAAAATTTTTCGGGACTAAAGTGTAACTTTTCGGTAAATATTGAGAATTTTCTAACAATATCCCATTTGGATTAACAAAATCTCATGGTGTGACCTAGGAAATTAAATGTTATTGTTTTAGGAGGTTGACTTTGTTACAATGGTTGAATGAAAAATTTAATGTACATTAATGCACTAATATACATATGAGTTGTGATATATATAGGATTCACATAATCCCCAAAAAAGGTATAAAAGCATTGCTGTTTTCCAGTGAAGAACATCAAAATTTGTTGTATTGTTCATCTTGAAGGGTGAAAATTCATTTTGAAGGGCTTCAGGTGAGTTTTGATTCTTCAATTTCTATCTAGAAAAAAAAAATTATCTCAAAGGTTTTCAGGTGATTTCTAATTATGTTTCTTACTGTTATTATCTTGTATTAGAGTATTATAGTTTAAAAGTTTATGCTTATGTGTATTAGGGAATCATGGTCCTTGAATTAGGGTCACCGCTTAACACCATTCACAACATTTATTACTCAAGACTAGAAATTAAAAATGGTGAACCAAATTGGTATGGTGTTCTATTTCTGGAGAATAAACCTGCAACCCTTGAGGAAATATGTGCTAATTATTATGAGATACATGCTAATGTTGAGGAAGGTAGAAAAAAATTAGTGGTTGGTGCTGAAGGAGCCCTTAAAATTTTATTAGAAGCTCTGTGCGTGCTTACAGAAACATTTTGGACCAAGTGTTCCAATTGCCAGTTTCGGTTCCATTATTCCAATTCTAGAGTCAACAAAGAACTTGTATGCATATACTGTGGCTGTGTTTTTATTGCTATCCCACTCGGTAGTGATCATTATCCTACACATTTTACTGTGTGTCCAAATACTACAGTTCTTGCATTAAGTGCAAATTCATCGAAACCTAAATCTAAAGAAAAGGTATCTAATGACCAGTCAAAGATCAAGAAGATGTTGATGGACAAAGCAAAGACATAAATAATCAAGCAGCTACGCAAATAGGCATTGGCTGCAGCAATGTGTTTATTTGTTGGTCAAACTGATATGAACTTGTCTCTCATGGTATTGTGTTTTTCAAAAGTTGAATACTTTATTAGTTAGTTGAACTTTACATGGTGTTTTCTTGATGTTGTTACTATCTTAATCTTATGCTAAACTTTGTTTGAGTTTTTGGTATAAAGTGATGTGTTTTTGTTTGTTGTGATATTAGAAAAGGATCTATGAGAAATTAATTACCTAAGGTCACGTTGGTCTATAGATGAACCCGATCTTAGGGTCGAGGATACTAGTGATACCTTATTTTGGTTTCATAAAGCAATAATCACTATAGTGTAATTAATGTTAAAACCCCAAAATTTCCATTGATTCGTTACCAATTGGATCATGTGGATCTAAAGTGAAGAGAGTGTCATGTACTTAGATTACAAGGCATTATTCACCATCCATTTTAAGAATATGAAATCTAACTATAAGTAAAGTTTTTTGATAGCTTGTAACCATATAGATACAATTACCACCAAAACACGTCGTACGTTTCAGAAGATGTCAGTTTACTTTCATGACATAAGATTCATAAGGAAATGTTACAAATTAAATCGCAAGAAATAAACAAAAATAATGTAGAGACATGAAGGCGTTGAACATCATTTTAAATGAAATAAAACGAACATTCTTACCTTACTATGTACCAAGTCATCGGGAGCGAAAATTGGAGAGGATTTGTGCTTTCTTCATGATATAAGTCTTTAGTCATATTATTGGTAATTCTAATCTAATTTCAAAATGTATAATCCTTCTTTATTCATTTAGTTGATATTCTAAGTTTGAAGGTTAATTAAGGTTGGTGTTTATGAATGGAGTCAAATGTGAATATTGCATACCAAATATTTGGTTTCAAATGGTCTAATGGAGCATGTGATTTAAGGAAACATTCATAAATTATGCTACATCATTTTCTTTTCATGACTTAAGATTCATAAGGAAAGGTTATGGAATTAAACCACAACAAGTAAACAAAAAACAACGTCACGACATGCAGGTGTTGACTATCATGTCACCCAAAACAAAAAATAGGAGAGGATGTGTCATTTCTTCATGATATAAGTCTTCAATCACATTCTTGGTGATCTAATCCAATTTCAAAAAGATATAATCCTTCTTTATTCTTTTATTCATTTAGTTGATGTTCTAAGTTTGAAGGTTAATTAAGGCATATTTTTGTGAATGAAGTAAAATGTTTAAGGGTTTATTTTTGTTAATGAAGTCAAATGTGAATGCATACCAAAGATTTGGTTTCGAATGGTATAATGGAGCATGTTTTTGAAGGAAACATTCATAAATTAGGCTACATTAATTTACTTTCATGACTTAAGATTCATAAGGAAAGGTTATGGAATTAAACCACAACAAGTAAACAAAAAACTACGTCACGACATGCAGGTGTTGACTATCATGTCACCCAAAACAAAAAATAGGAGAGGATGTGTCATTTCTTCATGATATAAGTCTTCAATCACATTCTTGGTGATCTAATCTAATTTCAAAAAGATATAATCCTTCTTTATTCTTTTATTCATTTAGTTGATGTTCTAAGTTTGATGGTTAATTAAGGCATGATTTTTGTGAATGAAGTAAAATGTTTAAGGGTTTATTTTTGTTAATGAAGTCAAATGTGAATGCAAACCAAAGATTTGGTTTCGAATGGTATAATGGAGCATGTTTTTGAAGGAAACATTCATAAATTAGGCTACATTAATTTACTTTCATGACTTAAGATTCATAAGGAAAGGTTATGGAATTAAACTGTAACAAATAAACAAAAACAACGTAGGGACATGTAGGTGTTAACCATCGTTTTATAACAATGAAACAAATGTTCTTATCTCAATATGTACCATGCCACCTAGAACGAAAAATGGGAGAGGATGTGTGATTTCTTCATGATACAAGTCTTCGTCACATTTTTAATGTCACACCCCGCTAAAGCGGAAACGCAAGGTATGACAGCGATAACGGTTTCAATGCAAAAGATAAAGATACATCACCATACCAGTATTTAAAAGTTTACAACCCATAGCTTCAAAAGAAACAAAATACAAGTTTTTCAAAATAACATTGTTCAAAATATAGCTTCATAATAGCTTCAACACGATGCAGCATGCTCTATGATGATGAATCTTTACATCCACTTACTAATTACTTCCTGAAAAAGCATGTAAAACGAGCGTCAACTATGAAAATAGTTGGTGAGTATCACAAGTTTATAAAAATCGAGCGTACAATAAGGCTTTTCGTAAATACAAGTACATTGCTTCAATGATAAACAAGTTGATTGCTATTAATGAATACAAGTTTATTGCTATAACGAGAAACGAGTTTGTATGTGTATGAGCAAACAATGAGTCTCAACCAAACCTATGACTGAAGCCCTATCGAGATCTATGCTTATCGTTCCATAGATGAATATGGTATCATGCACTCCAGCGATTCGGGCGAGTGAGGAGTTGTCAATTCCTAATAGCGCTATCCATAACGACCATTGGCTCAAAGAGTTAATGGTTAGAGATAAGGGAAGGGCCTTAGTACGATAAGTTCTCATGTTCCGTGTTGCATAGACATACATAAAGAAACATAGCAATACAATAGCAATCATGTTTGATACAATTCAATTTAAATACAACATGCAAACAGTAGTTTTTCTGGACATGCTTTTCCACCCCAAAACATAAAAACCGAAAATAGGGGAGTGCGTGAATACTCACGATGTTTTGTGTAGACACAAGCGGTACTTCGGGATGCACCAACGTCTTACTACCGGGATCCTACGACATCAAACACACGCACTAGTGAGTTTCCATGTCGATATCTAATGCTAATATACTAAACTCTACATATAGGGAAATGCCAATTTATGTTTTAGTATTGGATTTTATATCAATTAGTTACACTTTTTCTGAAGTAATGAAATTCTATATATCGGGCGATTAATTACAACCTTGGAATATAAACTTTCCAAATTTTTAAGTCCTTATTACAACATAAATTCACGAAAATAGCATTCGAGGGATAAAAATTCTCAAACTTTTTATTTAACTGTTATTACACAATACTAAGCTGGGAAAATTATAAAAATGGATTTCCAAGCTGTTTAATTATATTTTATGATTTTTGAGCATTTATTTCAATAAAAATTGAAATAAATAGAAAACAGTTTCCAAAATTACCCAAACTTTTTATTTAATTGTTATTATACATAAATAGGCTGGGAAAAATATAAAAGATATTTTTCAGTGGGTATTTCTATTTTTCCTTGCTTTATTCCTTTAAATAGTCATTAATTAAAGAAATAATATTAAACAGTTAAAATAAATCACCATAAATTTTTGTAACATCATTTACAGTATAAATATCCTGGGAAAAATATCAAAAGTGGTTTTCATAATGTATAAACTGGTTTTGGGTATTTATGTATATTTAAGTGTATTTTAGTGCAATTAACTTTAGAAAATAAGAGAAAAATAGTTTACAGTAGAGAAAAATATTCAAAATTTTTATGTAACCTCCTACTCTATAATATTATATCCTGGTAAATTTTCATGAATTTTGGATAATCAGAACTATTTCTCCCATTTTTAGACCATTATAATTACCAAAAATTGGGAAAAATAGTAAAACATGATGGAAAATCTTGAAATTATTTTCTGGAGTCACCCATCACAGGTAAGGTATGCGAAAATTGTTAGATACAATTTTCACATCCTATAAAGTGGTTTTGTAATTTATCATGTCCTAAATAAAAGAAAATTAGAAATCATATGAAACAGTAACAAAAATTGCTGAAATTTGGTGAGGGGTCATTATTCCCCATAAGGATCATCCATGAATTTATTTAGGATTTATTGACCTCTGGAAGTATTTTATATGATTTATGCCCTTGGTTTTAGCAATAATTCTAATAAATCAAAGAAATAACAAAAGCTCTTGAAATTTTCCAGATTATCTCATGCATGCAAGGGCTTTCAAAAGGAAAAATGTAAAAAAATGTATTCAGAAGAGAAATGAGGGTAATGATTCAAACAATTTAAGAAAAGTTGCATGCAATAATGCATGAAGTGTAAATGTGGCTGAAGTTCATGAATTTGTGTAGCCCATTCAGTGAGGTTTTAAGCCACGAAATTTCAACCATAATTCACTAGATATGTTAAGTTTCTAAGGTATTTTTCCTCAGATTTATGGTTGGGTTTAAGGCCATTGTTTAAGCAAGATAAAAATAGTGATCACAGAAAAAGAGCTGTATGCGCAACCTTTTTGTAAAATCTGCTAAAAATCGGATATTTAATATTTTACAGTGAGACCAGTTGGGTTTGAAAGTTAACTCGTGGAACTAACCAATACAAAAAGAATATCATGATTTGGTTAAGAAATGACTGAGTTATGACTGTTCAAAGTCGAACAAAGTAATCTGGCAGATTGCATGTTTGCTTGTGTGCATTATTAGGGTATTTCAACAAGAACATCATGCATGTCTTTGGTAAGGCCCGATTTCTAACACATGCATGGAATGAATGAGCATCCAAGATGTACTAGAAATGGTTTAAATGCTTTTGTTCATGCATGAACACAAAAGAAATGGAGAAGAACATGAAATATTAGGTTTTGATGTCACATGATCATATGTGCATCTTTTCCACTCCTTGCATGGGTTTGATCCCGGATTTTCACCATCTCTAACACATGCATTGTGTTATGGTGAGAATCTACAAACCACAAGGGGAGAATAAAGATTTCTAGCCATGGAAAGGCATAGAATCCGAAAAGTAGAGAAGACTAAGAAGAAAAAGAGGTTTAACCATGAAACTATGGAAGAAGATGTTGTTGTTTACCTTGGTTTTGACCTTGAGAGAAGTAAGAACACTTCAAGGGCTTCACAATCTCGAAATTTTGCAGAGAAATGAGAGGATTTTCGTGAGTTTAGAGAG